AATGCAAACATCTTGTCTGTTGTAACAACATCAGGTTCTCAGTTGCCAGCTACTGGGATTTTATTTACAAGATGACTGACAGCCAGCAAACATTAAAACTTGGCACCACCAGCCTTCCCATTGATCTGTGACACAACATTGTCAGCAAACAGACTGGAGAAAGTGCTTGATAACCATGCAGAGAAATGTTTTAAAAACTGATGGGTGTGGATGTTTAAGCCCTTTTTGATGCAGGGTGACAGAAATTCAGGTTCTTAGAACTTTAAAACTACAGTCACTAAGTATACTAGGGTCTATTTGCTCCTTTATGGGAGCTGGGCATAATGGGAACAATGAGTTTGGTGATGCACCAATGGTCAGGAATAGTCATGTAGAAGTTAAATTATTTGAAATATTTGATTAAAGTATTAACAGTTAAGTGTAAATATATTTAATGTAAACAATTTCATAATTATTTTTGCATTATTGAATGCATTAAGGGATAGATTGTGCAAAAATTACTCACATTTGTGAGCACTTATTCACACAAATATCCCCACCACATGAAATCTTGGCCCCACTGACTTCAATGAAACTATTTGTGGGAGTAAATGCCCACCACTGTAAGAATTGAAAAATCTAGCGCTGTGTTTATTGTATTCCATAAATACCCATACTTTCTCATTATGCTACAACAGTGGCACAATATTTTCTATGGTTGCATATTATGTTTTCATCCATGATCCCAGCCTCCATCACCCACTTATTAAATATTCAAACAAGCACCTGCAAGCTTTCTCCCACGTTACCCCTTGCCTTTGGAAGGAGCGCCTTATAAACATCCGCAAAACTAACTAACTCTCTTCAGCGGTGATTACTATAAAAAACTTGACAACAGATAGGCTGCTGATGTGCTGAGATCAGTTGCTCATGCTGACCAATACTGTCTCAATGTTTTCTTGTATGTACTCCCCCATCTGTCTTATATTTAGATTGTATTGTGTTTTATACAGCGCATATTATAATGAGGTCCTGGTCCATGACTGAGGCTCCGATGCGCTACAATACAAATCATATTTTATTCTAACCAGAAGCCACTTTTCTATAACAATGAAAATCCCAGGGGAAACACTTTCACATCACCAATTCTCCAGTCCTTTTAGATTATTTGTTAATTATGGGCTATGTTTTGCAGAAAGTTAAGCAGCAGTTTACATCAACCTGTAGAAATTGACTGGTTTGACAGAGAGGCCTTCAGCATCACTGCTATCATAGAGGGTCTGTCAATTTTATATTTTAAACCAGGGGTGGCCAACCTGTGGCTCCAGAGCCACATGCAGCTCTTCAGAAGTTAATATGTGGCTCCTTGCATAGGCACCGACTCCGAGGCTGAAACTGCAGGCGCCAACTTTCCAATGTGCTGGGGGATGCTCACTGCTCAACCCCTGGCTCTGCCACAGGCCCTGCCCCCACTCCAACCCTTCCCGCCCCCTCCCTTGAGCCTGCCGTGCCCTCACTCCTCCCCCCCCCAGAGCCTCCTGCATGCCATGAAACAGCTGATCGGGAGGTGTGGGGAGGGGGAGGGAGAGGGAGGCGCTGATCGGCGGGCAGGAAGCGCTGGGAGCGGGGGGGGGGGTGAGCTGATGGGGGGCTGCTGACATATTTCTGTGGCTCTTTGGCAATGTACATTGGTAAATTCTGGCTCCTTCTCGGCTCAGGTTGGCCACCCCTGTTTTAAACTCTGTGTTCACAGCTCAGCCATTCTCACATTTTACTCAACCCAGCATCCAGAAAATTCACGTATGAAGCACTTACCATGAACTGAAAATAAAGTGAATCATTACTCACATTTTTGAGTCTACTGTTAGAACTGACCATCTTTCTAAAAAATGACATGATAGCAGAATAGAAGGGATTATAAACCAGCTTTCAGTTGCTACAATAAACACCCTTCATTAATATTTAATAATTATTCTCACTTTTCCTACCAGCATAAGGTCTTTCAGTAATTTACAGCAAGACTTTTCTTTTTCATTGTACCAGGGGACTTAATTTATTCAGTTATTTGTAGTAACAAATTATTTGCATGCCTGTCCATCAGCTAGGTAGGGAGCAAGTGTGTATTTAACACATTTAGGTTAGTTTTGTTGAAACTTCAGAAGAGGTGAGCTGCTGTAAGGGCAAATAAGCAGGTAACTGTATCAGTACCTTGGGACACACCAAAAAAGAGTGCTAGGCTCAATTGATTAGTCTGGAGATTCAAGTGTATTCTTGCATTTTACATACCGAATTGCATGCTATTAAGTGTGGGTAACATGCATTTTTTTGTTTGTTTGAGGAATAAATATGCCTATGAACTAAATCACATAGGCATGTTGTGTTTTATTTCATAAAACCTTTGTGTTTTTGTCACTACATCACTTTTGTGGTTGGAGAAAAACCCGATAATACCCTATTCTGAAGAGGGCAGATCTAGTCCACAAATAACAGCATGTATGATCATCCTGCACTAATAGTTATACCATATTCCAATCCACTGTGAAATTCGGATATGTATAATATACATATACACATTTTTGTTTAAACAAAACACTGCCAGTAACTGAAAAAGGGGTCAAGAACATTAAATGTTTAGGTGTTCAACCCTTCACAGACTTGTCCTCCTATCTTCTTTCTCTGCTCCCCTCCCACTCCGCTTGTCTCCAATCAGCTATTTTTTCACTTCTTTCATTCAGGAGCTATTATGAACAGTTTGATATATGTGACCTGTTGCCCCTCCCTCCTACCACCACACTTATAGTTTGCTGTATTCTAGCATTTTTCAAACAGATCCCAGAGACTTTTACAAGGGAAGGCAAGTATTATTCTCCCCTTTAACAGAGATGACACAGGAGGTAAGTGGCATAGTTACTCTACCAGAATGCAGATCTGCCTCCTAGCCCCTTACCCTATACACCAGACCATGCTATCTCTCTCAAAGTATTTATAAATATGATGGAACTCACTAGATTACCAAATGTTTTCCCTTGCTTGGTCTGCACTGACGTCCTGCTTCTGCTTGGGTACATTAAGTTCAGAATGCAAAATAAAAAAATCTCTCCTTTTGTAGTGGAGATGCACTTTTCATCCATAGTGACTTGGCACTCTAAACATAAATATCTACAATCTAAATAAAACTGGATATGAATCTAGGCTCCAACTTGGACTCCTTCAGCTGGGAGTTCAGTCTACTTACACAAAACTATTTTTAAAGACTACTTATTTTGTACTTTTTATGGGACATTAAAGGACTGTAGTTTAGGCCCATAATTTATCTTCAGTGAGATTTAAAAACAATCTGATTTTTTTAGTCTTCCATTATACGTACTCCTGGCATAGGTTCATTCTACTGCTGCAGAGCTGCAAGCAGTCAGCAGAGGGAGCACAAGTTAACTAACCAGTTATTACCCAAACTTCTAGACTCTACAAAAGATTTTGATAAATAGTGAAGATGGAAATTACAGACTGCTGTCAGACTGTAAAGGGGCAGGATTCTTCCCTCCACTTACACTGGCAATAAGGAACAAATTGAGGCAGAAAGTGGGCCAAGAGTTCATGTGAAACTGAACAGAAACTCCACTGTTTGGAGGCCTCATGGTGAAGATAGAGAAGCCACCAGAGTCAGCAGGTTCCCATGCCATCAAGAGCAAAAGTACATGGCAGAGTCACATGTCAAAACTGGAGGTCTGGTCCAGCATTTACTTCCTATAGTGGGAGTAAAGTGGTGATAGTCAATGGCTTGGGAAACTTTGTATTGTCAAGAGGAGGCCCTGGGTTCTGTGGAGCAGGGTTTCTGCTCCTGCACTAGCGGATAAGGGACAGAGATCTGCATCTTTAGAAGTAGATATAACAGATTCTTGAACTACCTCTGGATCTGTGGGCAATAGCCCCAGTCCCTCCCACAAGGCAGCCAATACTACTTCACAGATTGGGGCCTCAGGGATTTTTGGGCAAGTAAGCTATCCTCTTTTACACCTTTTTCCATACTCAGCATTGATTGAGCCTAAGTATGTGGATGAGAGAGGTGGAGAGTGAGAAGAGAATTACAGTGTGCAAGATAGAAGGCGGCAAACCCTCTATAGCAACAGTTGTGATTTAATTACTCTTATATTTCTGAAGAGGTGACAGCAATCATGGATAGTGAAAAACAAATAGAATCCATGACTAAAAATAATTTCCTGTGGAGTGGCTCCCTATTCACATGTGTTGCATCATGTTTCTGAATGAGAAATGAAGAGGACTCTTGTTCCCATGCACATTACTCCTTAAGGAAACAAAGGAGATTCCTTTGAGTGACAAAAGGCACTCCCACCCATAGGCTTTGGGCATTTGAGCTCCAGTAAGTATGCCTCGAAAGGCAATTTAACATATTGCACAAACACACACACATATTACTCTTGTTAGACAGACATTAATGTTTAGATTCAGGAATGGTGTCCCTAGCCTCTGTTTGCCAGAAGCTGGGAATGGGTGACAGAGGATGGATCACCCTCTGGGGCACCTATCATTGGCCACTGTCAGAAGGGCGAGATGGACCTTTGGTCTGACCTAGTATGGCCGTTCTTACGTTCTTAAAGCCAACAAAAACTATTAGAAAACTTGCTTTGCTTAGTAAAATATTTAGTAGTTATTTTAATGTGTCTCTTTAAACCAAATATACAAGACAAACATTTATTTACATATTAAAATATTTTTGCTGCTTTAACAAATAAACAAAACCAACAGTGGCAGTACCTTGCTTTTAGTGCCTAATATAAATCTTATACATATAGAAGAACCCTCCATTAAAAGCCATTATTCTGTGCACTAACCCTGCCTCTACCCCTAAATATCTGACCAGAAGTAATTTGCACAAACTGGTAAAGTCAAGATTTGAAAAAAAAAAAAAAAAAATTGTAATAAATTATCCTCTTTCCTGCCTTTCTCCCTGCTCCCTTCCCCCTGTGCGCCCCCTCCCCCCCCATTTACATGAATGGAAAAAGCTCATACTAAGTAATTTTCCATTAATAAATAATCTGTTTCAACATGCTCACTTTCCCACTACAGTAAAGAGTAAACACAATACTTTATAGCCTGTATTTCAATGCCTTAGTTTCAGATAATAGCATCCCAACATTGTAATTGTGTGCTTTGAGACAGATATGGTTACCATTATTCACTCCACACAAGATAAAACACCTTTACCCATCTCTATAGTTTGAGTTACTCCTTTATAAGTAATTTCAAATGAGACAGAATTTCAATACCCGATGACCAAACTAGAACAGAAGACTGTACAGGATCAAGATCCTCAGACATCTGAGAAATCATTTTCTCTAATGTGTATCCTTGTCTGGCCATAGCAATATCATCCTTCTTTAAAGAAGTTACTGGACAGAGATCATTCCCACCATCACCTACATATATAATTTTTGTATATTTTACTCCTTGCTGTAACTTTTTATCTACAAATTCTTCTAACACTTTTCTTTTGCAGAGGTTTTTAGGGCACTTTGCACAATGATGAGTGTGAAAATTCTGCACAGTAAGATAACCAGCGCCACTGAAAGTTGCAGGATTTGTAAACACTTCATCAAGCACTTCATGAAAGTTAGCAGCTTTTAAAATCCAGTCAATAAATACTGTATTAGAATCTGAAATTATTATGCAATCAAAGAAATCTTTGTTCTTGCCAATAAAATCTAAAAGATCTCTCATTCCTGTAGTGAAAGGAATTGTTGTCATAGTTCTTTTCATCTCATCTTCTCTTACTCCACTGTCTCCCAAATATCTAAAGACCCTGCTCATGTATTCTGTCCAATGTCCTTTTTGATAGGAGTTTCTTAGTTTGTTAGGCAGTTTTTCCTCAGGAGCACACTTCACAATCCAGGTGTCACTGTTTTCATCTATGACCGTACAGTCAAAGTCAAAAACCAGCAGAAACTTCATAGTTGTTAGTTAAGAATATATTCTGAAAAAAAGAGAAATAGTTTGTTTATATAAACAGACACTTCTACTAAGTATTGAATTCCTACCATGACCTCCTGCTTGGAAAAGTGCAATTCTGCAAGAAAAAAGTCAGCAAGACAAATGTATAAACGTAGAGAGCTGTTTATGAGTGCTACAGCTGTCAGAAACGTTGTGCTCAAGCAAGCAGATGATCTGTAAAGGTCAAAATTCTAATTCACTATCCAACTACATTTTTAATTAGATAGTATAAAAAGTATCTGAAACAACATAATTATATTGTTACTCACTAGTCTTCGCTGACACAAGCTCAATCTTGCATTCCTTGGACAGCATCATTTAAACAGCCAGGTGGCACTTCAGTTCTAAATTTTGCCAAAGCAACCCTCACAGCTTAAATTCTTCAGCTTGCAGACAGGAGATGGAAGCTTTTTATGAAAACCTTGAGAGAGACATTTGGAGATGCTGCTGTTGCTAGGAGTTTAACCCGTTTTCTCTCCCCCCACAAACTTAAAAAAACCCAACAACTAGTAACAATATTCAAGCAGCCACCTTGACTCAAAAATCAAGAAAGCAAATAATACTGGTGGTGAATATTAGTGTTGACTTGCTATGGGGAGATTTGTAGGTGACTGTGGTCCTGCAGCATTAGAGTTTATGGACCAGCCCTGAATTCCCTGGAGAAGGAAACACCTCACCCTTTCTTTAGTGCAGTTCTAGGCACATATTTTGTTTATCTTAGTAATAACTTCGTTCATCACCTTTTCTTCATTCAGAAAGAAGCCAGGCAAGTCGTCACTGGTTGTTAACAATATTTAAGCTACAGCTCTAACTCTCTCTAGTCTCAGCCCCTGTAACTCTATAAAGGACACTTGACACAGATGGAGAGAGGACCGTCCAGCATTAGACAATATCACTCTTTTGGAAACTGCACCCTCCACCCCCCAAACAAAGCAGACCCCCCCCCACCACCACCGCATGACACAGGAGCAGAGGGAGCACAAAGCAGGAGATCGGGGTTTTCAGCTGCGCTCTGGGGAGCGGCGGAGCAGCTACACCGAAGGGATGGGGCAGCCAGCAGCACGCCGCGAGGCGGCCCGGAGGAGAGGCTGGCGCTAACGGAACGGGGCGGCGGGGAGCCGAGCCAGGCCAGGCCGGAGCAGGCCAAGCAGGGACTCTCTCAGGAGCCGGGCAGGCCGTTGGCATGGTGGCCCAGTGACCGGGGGAGCCCGGCGGGGGGGGGGGGGGGGGGGGCGGCGGCAGCGCTGTGCTAGCGCTGGACGCGGCGTCCCGGCCTGGCAAGGCCTCAGAGAGGCGCGTTCCGACAGGAGCCCGGGCGAGCTCGCGGCAGCAGCCGGGAATACTCGGCCGCGCGGAGCGCTCACCCTCAGCCTCCGGGCGCGGCAGGTCCGGCCCGAGCGGGGACAGGAACCACAAGCGGAACGAGGGGACGATCCGGGCCCGAGGGTCACGGGCAGGGCGGACACTACACCGGCGTCGAGGGGAGGCGCCCGACTGGGGCAGGCGCTGCGGCAACTCCGGTCCTCCAGCTCTGACACTGAGCCGGCCCGCTTCCGGCTCCGCCCCGCTAAGGCACGTGACCCCCCTCTCCGCCAGTCGCGCCGTCTGTCTCCCTCCGCCTTTCGGTTGCCTGGTAACCGCGGTACACGAGCGAGCCTGGCGCCGCGCTGCCCCGGCTGCAGAGGGTCATGGACGCGGCCGCCAGGCCCGAGGCGCTCTATGGGAGGCGCAAAGGCCAGAACCTGAAGCCCACGCGTGAGTGACACGAGGGTGCCGGAGCTACGCGGAGACCAGGCTGGGGCGACACGCGCGTGGCGGGGGACGGTGCTGGAGTGGGGGGCGACAGGGCTGCCCAGAGGATTCAGGGGGTCTGGGGCAAAGCAATTTTGGGGGCCCTTCCATAAAAAAAAGTTGCAATACTATAGAATACTATATTCTCAGGGGGGCCCCCTGTGGGGTCTGGGCAAATTGCCCCACTTGCCCCCCCCCCGGTGGCCCTGGGGGGCGAGGCCGTGCACCTCCCAGCCGTGTGGTGTCATGCCCGGCCCCATGGGGCCCACCCCCCACCTGGTGCACGACCAGGCGAGCCTGTGCCACCGCCTGGGATGGGTCGGTATGCAGGAAACACCCCCTGGCTAATGCACCACACAACCCCGGGCCCGGGGTTCCTTCCTTGAGTGTAACTGGCTTGTAACCGCGGCAGCACGCTGAGGTTTCATGGTCAGCCGAGGGAGGGGAGCCTGACCAGTAAAGCAGTTACGTGGGGGTGAAGAACAGGGGTGGCCATTGCAGTGAGGGACATTTGAGGTGAATGGTGCCTACATGTGTGACATGGTGGTGCCCAGACAGATGGGGGATGTGGTGCCCAAACACGGAGCTGACATGCCAGGCACAAGGAAGGGCTCATGTTCTGGCATCACAGAAGAGTGCAGGAAAAATCCATTCCCTTGTTGGGTTACCCTTTAAGAAAACTGGCAACAGAGATTGTAAACAAAGAACAAACAGACATAAGATATCACTCTCAGAGAAAGCAGTATCTCACATAGTAAAAATCTTCGATCTTAAATCCCCTCACAGCTCTGGTTCCATGCAGACATGCAAATAGATTTCTAGGGCCTGTTTCTCCTCTCACAAGGGTATACATAGGAGTAACCCAACTGAAATTAATGGAGTTACAGGTATATGAAACTATTGTGGGAGTAGAGTCAGGCCACTTATATAAAGATGCAGCCTGTGATAGACAATCTTGGCTGCATACAGTATTCTACTGTTGACACTTGGGTTGTGCAAATCCCCTTGTTTAGAGGTGGAAGACCAGGCCCAGTGCACCAGCCAAAGGGCAATTAGCAGAGAAGCAATTTTATCTAAAAGTAGGTTTTAATTTTAAACATCATTGTCAGAACAGGTAAAAGTTGTCCCCTTTTTTAGATTTGTCATGCAGTACTCTTACAAACCAGATGGGCAAAGTTTTCTAAGAGAATTTAACTTTACTCAAATATCTGTTTTTTTAAAGCAGTAATGACTAACATGAAGGACATTTCCTGAAAATTAATGACTGGCAGGAGGAGTTGAGGGCCTGAAAAGTACAGGAAAGCAAGACACATTGGTCTGTCAAGTAACATGAGGCTCTGGATCTGAGGGTTAGTTCTGACTGTGCTCCTGTTCCTGGATACTAGAATTACATTACATTGTAGAATCAAACTAATATGATGCTTTACTGTCAGCGCTGGGTAGGAGTCCAAATCTTGGTGTGGGTTCGAACCCAGGATTTTCTGGCCAGAAGTGCTACAAACTGAGTGAACTCATTCTTTTGTTCTTTCTTTCACATAGCAGCAAATGGTTTGGAAGAATATAATGCTCCAGATAGTATTTTTCTTCCAAATGGAGTAGATCTTCGCCAGGTTACTGTTCTGCCAAAGGCAGAATGGGTAAGAATTCGAGACAGTGTTGACAGTGCAGCTAGAGAAGCAGCACGGATTCATGCAGAGAGGAAAGAACGGAAAGATATGCACTTACGTTCCAAAGCAGTTGTGAAAAACTGGCCCAACACCATTGCAGTAAGTGAAATGTACATTTGGAAATTGGAGGGTTACTTTTCATATACATTAGATTAGATCGGCCTCCCTCCCCCAGTGTAGACCAGGCCTTAGAGTGAACTCTTCCCCTCCCTTCTCCATGTACCAACACATACACACACAAACACACTTCCTAACAAGAGTTTCACTATAACTACTTTTTGGTGGCCCTGCCTACTAATTCTCCTGCTTAGGAACATCATAGCTTCTTCCCTCTTCACTCCAGAGAAGTATCAGGAAATTCCAGCAGCTAAAGAGAGAGGGCAGCAGTGCTGCATGCAGCAGCGCATTAGACCTGCCCATGTCATGTCATGGATAAGTTTAAAACAGGATCATAGAGAGAAGGAGCAAGTAAGAGGTGTGAAGGGAAGGTCTCCATCTTCCCTGCTGACTGCCAATGGAGCCACTTGCCCACCAGGCCTCCAGTCTTTCCCTTCTCCCTACAGGATTATTGTTCAAAATATTTCAGTGGGCAAGTCTAGAGCTTCCAAATTACACATCTTAGTTATTGCAGCTCAGGTAATTACATTCTGCCTACCTAAATTTACCCTGTAATTTCAATTGGCTATATTATTATTTACTATCGTCTGTATTGCAGTAGTATCCAAAATGTGGATCTGAGAAACAACCATGTCTGCCCCCATAGCATACAGTCTAATAAAACATACAACAGAAAGGCTGGGGAGAGGGAGAAGACATACAACAAAATGTTGTTGTTGTACTGGCCCCCTGTCTCAACTACTGTGCTGCCTACCCCTAACTAGTTGGCAGTCTTGTAGGCATTGTGGTAGAAGTGAATGTTGGTGAGGGATTTGAAGGCAGTTCAGTTTAGAAAGTGTGTTCCAAATGCAAGAGGTGGCATGGAAAAAAGCACAAAGCCTGTTGTGGGAGAAGCAGACAAATGTATTGTCAAGGCTGTCGTAATTAACGGAGCAGAAATCCTTGCTCATTCTGTTCTTTACTTCCTGTCCTAAACTACCACGTAGTGCAGTGCTGTTAAACAGCTGCTGCTTATTATCTCAGAGATGGCTGCACATCAGTGGTCATTGAAGTGATCCTTATCCTTTATCCAGTGGTGTGAAGCTTATTATAACTACTCATAAAACACTTTGGGATCTGCATATGAAATATGCTTTCTAACAGCAAAGCATTTTTATCATACCTTTAACTTTCTAATAGATATTTAAAACACAGGACAGCAGCACAAAAAGTGTTTGATAGTTCACATTAGGTATGAGTAGGTATAATCAACTTCTTGCTGATTTGGTCTTTTGAAGAAGTTGTAAATTTTTGAGCCAGTTCTTTTCAGTGTTATCTGTAATGGAAATGAGTTTTATCTGCATTTAGGGCCAGGCACAGAGGAAACTTAAAGCCAGAAAATTGCGAGAAGAAAAGGAGGAAGAAGAAAGAAAACTACTTGATCTGGAGGAAGCACAGTTTCAAGCAGCAAAGCGGAAGGAGGCCATAGAACAGGCCAAAACGTATCAATATTATCAGAATGAGAGAGTGAAAGGGTTACATGTTTGTAGATGGTTTATTGTCTTTAATTCAAATTGTATTGTTTCTTTGCACATAATTGAATGTGTAATAAAATAAACATGAAATGTTCCAATTCTGTTTTGTAGAAAGCACTTTTACTTACTGAGGTCCTAAAGGAAAGAGATGCTCAGATTGAATTTAAAAAGACAAAGCCAGATATTTACAAAAAAAAGGAAGAAGAAATGGAACGTGAGCGTGAAAAAGCTATTCTGAAAGAGCAGGAAAAGGCATATGAACGCTATATGAATCGACAGGCACTTTGCAGAGACCACCTGGAACAGTAAGTAAAACAGGGCTGTTTCTGACTAATAAAGATTATTGAGTTAAACTGTTTCTTTTTCAACAAATCTATTTTAATCAAGTTGTTAAAAGAAACCTAGTGTTCATCTGCTAAACAAATGAGTTACCAGGAATTTTTAACAGAAACAAAATGAGCTGTTGTTTTCTCAGTAGAGAGAAAGACCTATTAGATCATCCATTCCATCTTCTTAGCCATGCAGAATTCTACTGACATTACAGTTTCTAATATTTTGTCCAGTCCAGTTTTAAAAGCCCCACTGCTTCCTTGGGGAAGGAACTTATACTACATTCCTTGGGAGGCTATTCTACAATCAACAGATCTCGTTACCAGGAAATTTATATAATATATGGAGATATACCTATCTCATAGAGCTGGAAGGGACCTTGAAAGGTCATTGAGTCCAGCCCCCTGCCTTCACTAGCAGGACCAAGTACTGATTTTGCCCCAGATCCGTAAATGGCCCCCTCAAGGACTGAACTCAGGCCAATGCTCAAACCACTGATCTATCCCTCCCCAGATAGCATAAAAATTGCAACAAAATTTGGGACTCCATACTAATTCACTGAGCACATCTTCCATCCTGCATGCTTTAGTAAATTTTGCTAGAAGTATAATGTCATCTGGCCCAGCCCCACTCTCTGGAAGGATACCAGTCTTTTATGGAACCAATCGCTGGATCCCATGTGCTTCTAAGCTCCCTGGATCTTGGTAGTGACTAGACATTATTTCTAGCTCTGAGTTTCAAAGACACTCCCAGATGCAGACCCCATATCTAACAACTTTCTTTGGCAGTGCCCCCACCCTTCCAGCTAACCCTTTCAGGGACAACATGGCTGGCAAACAAGGAATACAGGCTTAGAAAAGGAATTTCTTAACCAACGGTACTTTACGCTCAAACAGCACTAGAGAGTTACAGGTCTTTGGGAAACAACAAATGATCCTGAATGCACTCCCCTCAAGTTGGATTTTACCCCTCCTCTGAATCCTGGGTTTGGTCAGCCTCCACAGGTTGGGCAGTCTTTCCTGCTTTCTCTCTC